GCAAGGAAGCGTTGCTTCTGGATACTGTAATAGCTATAGTGTTTTGAGGCTTTGGTGATGGTAAGGTACGGTAAGGTAGAAGTAAGTCAGTGTAGCCCAGCTGCTGTGAAGAAGCACGGTATATGCAACATTAAACATCAAGATAGGGGCACTCGTATGTGGTCTAGGTCTGGGCGGCCTGGCAGTATCTCAGCCCACATACAGCCATGACATTTTCCTCAAACATAAACTTCATCCTGCATCGGCCGTCGCGCAGATTATCAAGGGTCGCCTTATCTGCTGCATACAGCAGGGCGGATAAGCGAAAACATGCCACTGCTGGCGCCTCCCTTCCTTCTTTAACACCTGTTTTACGCTCATCCCGACCCTCATTACTAACCTTCCTTCTATAATTCCCAGCTTAATTGACAGCAACTGAAGTGCCACTGGAGTAAAACCATCTGTTGCCATCATCCCCCAACACCTATCGGCAAAAGTCCCTTATAAGGCCACGGTATCCCGTTTCCGTGGCGACATTCAACGTTCGCACTATAAGACAAACAGGTCAACAGGCTGCACTCGCACGCACCTTGGACACACTAGGTATTGATGTGTGTTGTGTGTCCGAAACTAGGATAAATGACCCTAACGGGGTTATTGAATTAACTGAGCCTGGCTTATCCTCTCGTTATTGGTTGCACGCATCCTGAGACGCCGATGCAGCACTCACGGGTCAAGCTGGTGTAGGTTTCATTCTAAGCTCCAAGGCCGAATCATCGTTGGTTGATTGGATTCCGGTGAACAGCCGTTTATGTGCAGCCCGTCTGACGACATCAGCTAAGGTTGATTCAAGAAGCAGTAAAAAACGCTGTTTGTTTGTGATTTCCGCTAATGCTCCCACCGACTGTAGTTCTAATGCTGTGAAGGACACATTCTATGACGAACTGAACGCGCTACTACGCAGTGCTTCTAGTTCAGATATTGTAGTACTTGCAGGGGATATGAACGCACAAGTAGGGAGTCTGAGCTCTTCAGAAGCTCCGCTGGGTGGTAATTATGGACTTGACTGCGAACGGACTGACAACGGTAAGCGTCTGCTGCAACTGTGTGCGGAGCACCAGTTGTTTCTTAGTAGCACTGCTTTTAAACACAGTGGGCGCCGAAGTGCCACTTGGCGTCCTCATGTAGCTGGCCAGCGATGGACCCAAATTGACCACATAGTCATAAGTTACAGATGGCGTGGTTCTATTCTGGATTGCCGCTCATACTGGAGTACCTGTGTCGACTCTGATCACGCCTTGGTGCGCTGTCGTTTCTCCGTGAACTTTGCGTCTCCTCCGATTGGCAACTGAGAAATTGTCCCAGCCCTCGGTCAGGCAAGCCTATCAAGAAGCACTGCATAGCGAACTCTCGCTGTTTTATCCTAATGACACTGAACTTCAGTGGAATAGAATCTCGGCTGCCATGCAGGACGCAGGAGCATCTGCTTGTGGCACTATCCATCGTCACCGCACAAGTCACTGGATATCCGAGAGGTCCGTGAACCTCTTGGAATCTAGAAGACACCTCCCGGCTGGCTCTGAACACAATGTGACCAGACGGGCTATCAGGCGTGAACTAAAGCAGAGTCTACGTGTTGACAAGGAAGCCTGGTGGACCAGTCAGGCTCAAGAAATGGAGGAGGCAGGAGCAGTAGGCAATTACCGCAAGCTCTTCCAGCTAATCCGCACCACTGGTCCAAGAAAACCAGGCGTTAGTGAGACACTCAGAGACAGCGCGGGTGCGCTGATACACAATAAGGAACGCCGTATGGCTCATTAGGCTGAACACTTTGAAGATCAGTTCAGCTGGCCCCCTGCTTCCGGACCTCTTCCTACTCTGGTGATGTAGGACGAGCCATGGACGGTTAGTTTAGAGCGTCCGTCGGAGGCCGAGGTCCGAAACGCGATCACAGCCCTTAATCGTTTTCGTGCGGCTGGCCCGGATTCCCTCCCACCTGCACTATTTAAGGATGGAGGTGAGGTCCTCTGCAGGGCACTGACCTCCCCATTCGAACGTATCTGGAACGAAGAGAGTGTGCCGGCTAATTGGAGCGAATCGATTATAGTGGCAATATACAAAAAGCGCAGTCGCACAGACTGTGCGAACCACAGGGGTATTAGCTTAACACCAGTTGTGACAAAATTGCTGGCCTCGATTATCGTTCGTCGCCTCATTGCGGAACGGGAATCTCGGATTAGGGAAGAGCAGGCTGGTTTCCGCCCAGGACGTGGCTGTATAGACCATATATTCACTTTGCGGCAGGTGCTAGAGCAGCGCCACACATACCGCAGACCGACAATAGCTGTGTTCCTCGATTTCAAGAGTGCGTTCGATTCAGTCGATCGATCGATTCTGTTCGAAATACTTGCGCGGAAATGTGTTCCCACGAAATATGTGAACATCCATCGTGCTCTATACTCGAAAACTACAGGCCGCGTCAGGGTCTATGGGGGTCTGTCGGATAGCTTTCCGACCACAAGTGGCGTTCGTCAGGTTGTCCAATTTCCCCATTTCTGTTTAATTTCGTCGTGGGTTCTATCATAGAGTGTTCCCTTGCGGAATCTCACGATGTAGGCATTAAAGTGCTGCCTTTTGAAAGGTTAGTTGACCTAGATTATGCGGACGATATCGTCTTGCTTTTCGACAATGTTGAGGCGGCACAATCAACCCTGAATAGGCTGACCAGAGTGGTCCCATTATTTGGTATGCAGTTCGCACCTTCAAAGTGTAAAGTGTTGCTGCAGGACCACCAGCCATTTGATGACCCCTTGACGCTTGCTAACGAGGAGCTCGAGGTGGTTGATCAATTCACTTATCTTGGCAGCTGCATCAGCAATGATGAGCGCATAGAAACTGACATCAGCTCACGCATTGCAAAGGCCAGAGTTGCCTTCTTGAACCTGCGGCATCTTTGGCGACAGAAGGGAGTTTCCCTTCGTCTGAAAGGCCGTGTATACAAGGCCACAGTGAGGGCCGTTCTGCTCTATGGCAGTGAAACTTGGCCCCTTCGGTCTGAAAATCTGAGGCGCCTTCAAGTCTTTGATCATCCTTGTTTGCGAAGCATTGCTGGAGTCGGATGGCACCATCGTGTCCGCAACGATGATGTGCGTAGGCGAGTACTAGGTGGTGATGATCATGCTAGCTCCCTAGAACAACAGATAGCACTGAATAAGTTGCGTTGGCTCGGGCACTTTCTACGTATGCCTGGTCACCGCTTACCTAGGAGGGCCTTGTTCAGTCTACCAGGTGTAGGATGGCGCAAGGCTCGAGGTGGACAGAAGTTGACTTGGCAGCGAGAAATGAAGTCACTGACAACTAAACTGGGTGCCGTTGGTCCTTCTTGCCTTCCGGTTTGGAGTCCACGTGACTCACCATGTGCTTGGCTCGAGACTTTACAGGACATGACTCGCAACCGACACCAGTGGCGCGTCTGCTGCCGTCTCCTAATCGGATTGTCTGTTTAAAGTGTGTTTGGTGCTGAGTTATCTGTGGGGTAATGGCTGATTATGACGCGTGGCAGTGAAAGTCGCAAGGAAGCTGTCTCGCCGATGCCGCCTTATCTTTGCACGATAGCCAGCTGTTTGTGACGGTATGTTGTCTACACAAGGTGTAGGCGCCTTGACCCTGAATGTTTGCTTAGGACATTAAGGTTTTCAGGTAAGTCCCCCTTCTCTCCCTCTTATTATTCTTTATTTCATAGGTCCTCATGGTTGTATGGCAGCGAAGCATCAGTTCAAATGGCTGATGTACTGCTGTTGATGATGATGATGATGATGACTCGTATGTGGACACTTTTGTTCGCATTACCAGTAGGGCAAATAGAGCGCTTGCGTCCTTGCTGAAACTATGAGTGGTTGTGACTGCGCTGCAACACTCGATGGATTAGTGCAGGATCAGTGCAAAAGTCCTCCCGGCCGATGTTGCGAGAGAGCGGGGATTCCGTTTTGACTCACCTTGCTCCATAATGTTTGGCCGATTTAACGTACACCGTCTCTTCTCAGTTGCATACTATCAACGCCAAGGAGATAACACCATTTGATGCTCGGTATGATAATGTCAGAAGTTGCATTTATACTATATGCCTTCGATTTCAGGAAGTTCCAAAGCCATTCAGTTTTTTACATGCATCCGGTCATCTTATTCCGCTTTGACATCTGGCCTCACAAGTTCCTACTCCGGGCACATTGCTATTGGAGTGCTATTCCCCATCTATAAAAAACAGGCGGTATCTGGACGCCAGTAGATCCGTCTTGGTAATGTACAACGCGCTATTCTAACATCAGGCTGATCTTTTCTTTGAAAATGATCTAATCTACTCTTGTTTGTTGCACTTTTGTTCATTATTTAACCTATTCACTGACTTTGAAGATTGCTAATCTTGGCACTTATTTTGAACCCCATTCCCACCGCATCTCTCTGACTCCTTTTCTAGACAAAATACTTATCCACCTTTCCTACGTTGCTTCTCAAATTCCCGTTGTTGGTATGTTTGCCTCGAATTATCGCTACACTCTACTGATGTATATATTGTGCAACGAACGAAACCTCGTTGGTCGTTTTTACTGTTGCCACATTACCCATTGTAACTGATTCGCGTTCTCATTTACTAGAGACATCTGTTTTAATTCTTACGTGTTCAGGTTGTTGAGCAGTCAACACAGCTGCATACGCGCTACTCAGACAGAAGGGCGAATAGTATGTACCTTATAAATTCATCTTTTCGTTTTCAGTAAACGTCTCACGAACCACCGGATTCAGTTGTACTTCTAGTTAATTTGTAACTTTCGATGTATCGAACTGAGTGCGAAGCATAAACTTACCATCCCCATGTGACAGCGATATTTTCTTAGTGCTTATTATCGGAGGTCGGAAGCGTTTGCAACTTTTCCCCTTAGGGTTAGTGTTTATTGCCGTATTATTTGCTCGCAACGTTTCAAATTTGTGTTGCTGCTAATTTCTATTCCCAATTTGTATCTTCAGTTATTGGTAATGAGATTCTCAATGGGAAGACAGAGGAATGCAATTCTCGTTTGGTTTGCGCTGCTGCGCCCTCCCTAGGATTGAAGCTTAGAAAGGTTCGCTCCGACAATCCTTGCAAATGCGCTTCCAGATTACTATCTTACCAGACGATGTTCAGCTGATTGCACAGGAGGCACGAGAGTTCATGAACTCATTTGACATAGTGTTGACTTCCGGTGGCATTGGTCCAACTCACGACGATGTGACATTCGAAGGTGATCCTAGTGTTTCTCCTTTATCACTGGGCTTTTTCCTAGGTCTGGCGAAAGCGCTAAACGAAAGTACGCTGGTCCATCCTGAGCTTTTACACGTGGTCGAGAATTTCTTCGGCTTCGATTCCTCTCTCGGTGCACTCCACAGACTTGCCTGTATCCCAGCCTCTTCCGAGCTGGTGTACGGGATAGACCACTCCACCGGACGACAAAGTAACTATCCAGTTGTCAAGGTCCGGAATATTTACGCCTTACCTGGGATCCCAACACTCTTTCATACGGCTTTCGAAATCATCAAAGTAAGTTGACAATTCAAAATTGTGTAAACAGTAAAAAATCTATATTGGAGAAAAGTGTTATCATACGAGTCGGATCACAAATCGTATTTATCTCTTGATCCTAGTTTGAAACCAGGCCTCTGTATGATATATCTCGCGGCCTTGATTCCTTTCCGCACCGCTTTATCTGGTTCCGTTGTGAGTAAATATTCAGCTATAAATCCAGCAGCGAATGCGTCACCCGCTCCAGTAGTGTCCACAATGTATTCCTTGTGTATCGGTGCCACTGGGAACTCCTGCACTTTCAACCCGCTTGATCTCACCATAATCACAGGCTCAGCAGTTTGCGTCAACAGAACGATACTTTCCTTCTCTCTGGTTGGTGCACATATTTTCGAACATAGGTGTTGCGCGATCTTACTAATGGGCTCATTTTTTAGACCATGTTTGTCACCGTAGGCGATCGCATCCGCCTTGTTACCGAACAGAATGTTGACAAATGGAAGCAGCGCATCGACTTGTCCCGCAAAGTGTGTCGCTACGTATGGTGCACTGAGATTAAAGCAGAAAATTTTTCCTTGAGCAAACGAAAATCTGGCGATTTCCATCACAGTGTCTGGGTTTGCGGCTAGCATAAAGCCCTAGAGAATGTTGTTAACCTTCTGCACATACATCGAATGGATACTTACCGAAACATAGTAGACGTTCGCATTTTTTATAAGTGTCCATACCGCGTTGTCCTTTACATATTGTTGTGTTAACTCAGGCGCCGCACCCGGGTAGCTGATCATGCTGCGGTTCATTCCGTGGATCAGTATCACGCATCTTCCTGTCCCCGAATCGGTGTTGGTAATCTGAAGACACGAATGCATCTGATACTTCTCACAATCCTTGCGGAGGATTTCACCAACGCTATCTGACGCGATACACCCAACAAAGCCACACGTGTACGGTTTCCGCAAAATCCACTGAATCATTTTCACTGTGTTCATTGTGGCCCCTCCGGCTGCGTACTCAACCTCGTAGTTGTTCTCGATCTCCGAGTAAAGGTCCGTATGTTGCGGTTGAGCGAGAATCGCGTTATCCTTTTCGAGGCCATACTTTGTGTACAAATTTTCGTCTGCTTTTACCAGCATATCCAACATCGGTTGGCCTAACCCCACCACACAGCCCCTCGGGATTCTTTCCATCACATGCTAAGGTCGCTTGAACAAGTTTATGGATTGCGTCTTTTTAGCACACATTGCCCACATTGGTGCCGCCGGAGCCGCTCATGATTGGCCAGTTCGTGTGCGTTGTGTGCCGCGTACGCACGCGTGTCTAGCCGCGGCGGCTTCCGTTTTGGCTGCCTGGTTAGTGACCCAATGTACAGACGTTGGGATGGCGGATGGCATGTAAATTGACGAGTATGGCGATCGTGTGACTTACGCCGGTTCTCACTGGTTTGTCGGCACGCGGACCAAACATTGCACTGAGACAGTTGGACGTGTCTGTTAGAAATTGGCGGCCTATCACTGATAGACTCGGTTAGACATCATCATCACCACCGTCGGCGTTGTATTACTACTTTGCACACGTTTCGTCTCCATCCAGCCATCGATCATGGGAGATGGCTTTATCAGTGGGGTGTCAATACATCGCTGTATGCCCTAGCATAAGGTACCCAGACTTCATCATCATCATCGTCATTACACGTTAGCTGGAGGTGGAAAACACCTCAGCTATTGTGCCGCAATACAAAAGATAAGAAAAGGAAAACAAACGGTGGCATGCCCGCTGAGTCCCCAGTAACGGATGGACTTCATTCCGGAGAGTTAACAGCTGGCTGCCGTAAAAGAGTCATATTATACCTATCAGGTGAGATCATGATTGGAAGGGGATGCTAAGCAGGAGGGGGATGGACAAAGGAACTCACAACACAAACGCCATTGGGGCCGGCTCCAAGCCATATCGGCGAGTGTGTCCAACCAAACGTGTTCACCATCCTTAGGACCCTAGCCAGGCAATCGGGATGCACCAACCGACGCCAACTTCGAAGTGAGGGTTTTCATTCCTCTTGATCAAGTCATCACTTGGCCTCCCCTCCTCCTCTTCCAACCGCACCCACAACGCGCAAACAATGCACGTCGTGGGAGTCGGTGTGCTGGCATGCGCAACACGTGGCCCAGCCATCGGAGCCTGGTGCGTGATATAATGGTGCTGAGCGGTTCACTCGCTCTTCCTGCACCAAATACGCGACGTCGAACACGCTCATTGCTCACGCGGTGTTCCCACCAGACACAAGCTAAGCTGCGAAGGCAGCGATGATAGGATGTGACGAGCCTCTTTATGTCTGTCGACCTGATGGGCCAGGTTTCACAACCATATAGGAGAGTTGAACGGACGACTGCGTTGTAAACTCTGCCCTTCAGGGCGAGATTAATGTCACGTCTGCGCCACAGATGGTGGAGATTGGCAAAAGCACCTCGAGCTTTTGCTATACGGTTCGTAACCTCATCTTCAATCCCAAGGGTGCTAATATAGCTGCCCAGGTACTTGAATTCCTGAACGACTTCTAGCAGATCACCACCAAGCGTTAGCGCAGGGTTGGGTCCCTGCCAATCTTGGAGAAGTACTTTGCATTTCGATGGAGCAAAGCATAGTCCAAAATGATTGACAGCCAGTGCTAATCGGTCCAGTGCTGTTTGGCATGTTTGGGAGCAGTCACAGATTAGGGCAATATCGTCTGCATACTCCAAGTCAAGAAGTCGCTCACCAGGAAGTAGCTCCACACCTTCTAGGTCGTGTCCAGCGAACGCTGTTTCCATGACTTCATCAATAGCGAAGTTGAAGAGGAAAGGCGACAGCGGACATCCTTGTCTCACACCGCTGGTGATACTGAAGGGTGGCGACAGTTTGCCATAAACCCTCACCCTGCCCGAACTATGCGCGTACAGCGCTTTGATAATATTTACATATTTATCAGGCACACCTTTCCTCAACAGACAGTTCCAAAGGGCACATCGATCGACTGAGTCGAAGGCACCTTTTATGTCAAGAAACACGACAACGGTGGGTCGCCAATAAACATGGCGGTGCTCCAACACTTGACGCAAGGTGAAGATGTGGTCGATGCAGCCGCGACCTTGACGAAATCCGGCTTGCTCTTCACGAATCTGGCTTTCACGAGTGCCAGTCTGTGGAGAATGATAGAGGCAAGCAATTTAGAGGCAATCGAAACCAGACTGATCCCTCTATGATTGCCGTATTCCAAACGGGAGTTTCCCTTGAAAATTGGGACAATGACGGAGCGGTTCCAGTCTGTCGGGACTGTCTCCTGCTCCCAAAGTTTTACTAGCAACTCGTGTATATCATCCATTAGAGCAGGTCCCCCGAATTTGAAGAGGGCTGGAGGAATTGTATCTGCCCCTGCGGCCTTATGCAATTTCAACAGTCTGATCTCACGTTCGACTTCTGTACGTGAGGGCGGATCCAAGGAGACGGCCCAAGGAGAAGGGCGCTCAATGCCTGAAGAAGAAAGCGATAACTCAGGTTGGTTAAATTGCTTTGCAAAGTGTTCAGCCCAACGCTCCAAGCGTTTTGACAGGCTCTGGATCAGCTGCCCACTCTCGTCGCGTATGGTCTCGCTAACACCAGGTCTCCTGCTGCCTGTTTCCCGTATCAGACGGAATAACTTACGATGATTACCAACGGCAGCGGCTGTTTCCATTTCCGATGCACGATGAGACCACCAGGTTTCGCGGTCTCTCTTCAGGCTAGCACGTAGTTTTGCCCTGAGATTTTTGCGAGTCTCATTGTATTCGCTTCCAGCCGGAATACGTCGGCGAGCATCCATAAGTTCCAGAGACTGTGTAGAGACTCAATGTCCGGTTTGGCAATTTGCTTTGCCACATGAAGACATGCCTGCTAACAGCAACGTTTGACGAATATGCGACCAGTGATCTTCAACGGTGTTTAGTGGGCGCTTGCTCAGCCCAGATGTCAGCGCACTTTGGTACACATTCAGAACATCTGGCTTCGCCAGCTGGCTGGTGTGAATCCGTTCATATCGACGTTGCGGACGTCCACCGAAACGCACTAGGAGGTCGGCGCAGACAAGTGCGTGGTCAGAGTCCACGCTCGTGCTCCAAATCGAGCGACAGTTTTGGACACAGCCTCTCCAGCGGTAACTGATCGCGATATGATCGATTTGCGTCCACGGCTGGCCCGAGGCTGCTGGCCGCCAAGTCACACTTCTGCGGGTGCTGTGTCGAAAGTTAGTGCTCGCGAGAAAGAGGCGAGCATCTTCACACAGCTGTAGCAATCGCTCACCATTATCATTACGGGAGCCTACACCATGTTGGCCGCCCAGATGAAGCTCATCAGAGGACAATTTCCCGACTTGGGCGTTTAGATCACCAGCCAACACCAGAGTATCCGTGCTTCTTCTGTAACGGAGGAGCTCGTGAAGTTGCTGATAGAAATCATCTTTTACCGCATCAGTGCTACAGTTTGTAGGGGCGTAAGCCGCAATGACAAACAGGCACCGTTTGTCCCCGCGCGACTTCGTAGCACGGAACGAACCAGCTAATCTAACGGCGCACATTCTACTGTTGACTGGGATCCAGTCAATCAGGGCAGCTTCAGCCCGGGGACTCAAAACAATGCCGACGCCAGCTTGACCGGCATTTGAAGCTGCATCATCGCCAGACAGGCGCAATGAGAATGTGCCGCCAGTGTCGCCTGTGGGGGATCTCAGGGTAAGCACGGAGCTCGAATCTTGCAGGCGGGTTTCTGATAAACAGCAAATATCGATCGACAGGGTATCTAGTGTGCGGGCAAGTGCTGCCTGTTGGCCAATCTGCAGCAAGGTGCGCACGTTGATGCATGCCAATCTTAGCGAGACACGAGGACTCCAAAGGGGAACGGATGAGTTGACGTTGTCCGCTTGGTTGAACATGGACTTGTCGACTGGATTGGAGCGAGGCCCTGCGATTGTGTGTGATTTGAAATTAGAAGACAAGCGACTATTAAAGTAAGCT